CCTGCATGTAGAAGAAATAAAATGTGCAAAGTTCAAGTCATCCACATTGTGCACGTCATATGTGAACTTACAGTTTTGCCTTTCAGGAAGGTCATCCTGTGAATCTGGTTTTCAAACTCCTCTCCAAGCTGTTCTTTGATGGATTTCCAAGCATAGCCTATATTATGCATCTCCTGCGAGCACTGCAGCTGTATAGTGGTGTAACCCTGCAAAAACAAGTGAAATGGTTGTTAGGAACGACAATTGCTTTTATATTGTTACCATTATTCAATATGTTTTAAATAGAGTCCAGATTTGCACTTGCTCTTTAGTCCAGTTCTGTATTCATGATATTTGGTGCATGCTGGGGCAAAGTTGTGATATTTTTTATAAGATAACCCAGACAGGAAGAGGTGGGGCTAACTGGAGGTTTTAGAGATTTTTTGGGGGCCAATGACTAGGTTCCTATAAGAGAGTTAAAGGCAAGAGGCGACATGGAAAAGATGAGTGAGGCCACAGGTCACCTTTTTTATGAGTTGCATTGAAGTGAGTGGCTTTTGGAAAAAAAAATGAACTTCTTGGGTTGGATCTGAACCCAATAAAAAACCTTGAGTGTTTTGAAATACAATATTCCCATTTAATTTGGTTGAGTTTAGCAAGAAAGGGTGAAAAACGTTCAAAAGAAAGATGTTCCAGGTTTGATGGGATAAGTTGAAGCAACAAAAAGACTTGATACTAATAAATGATTTGAAAACTTATGTAATTTGTAGAATTTAACAAATTAAACAAAAGCATGTAATGCATCAGACTGAAGAAGTCTTTCGGATGAAAGATGAAACGTTTCTACAATTTGTTTTAGTTTGTTTTTTGAACATCCAGAGGACCAGACTTAACTGTTTTAGACATGTAAAGCATTGTTTTTCCCCTTTGTTGATGTGTGCCAGCTGATGAAAAGACTTCACAAATATGCAAAGACCAGATTAAAACTACTCAACACCATTTTGTTTTATACATGAGCAACAAAAAACGATTTTGCAAAATAAATTACACGGGTTAACAGTCTTTGCTATACTAGAGTGGTGAGTCTTCAGTTCTATGTCTGTGCTTGTGTATTTGAAGCTTACAGAATCAGAGTTGAGCAGCGATCGCATTTCTACACTTGTAGCTCCAGAAATATGGGCCAGAGCAGCAGCCAGAGCATCTACTGCTCCTTTCTCTTCAATCAGCTTCTCAGCAAATTCTCTAAAATATTCAACAGCTGTGGCTGGAACAGAGTCTAGGAACCTGAACACAACAACAACAACAACAACATAAAAAAAGTTAAAAAAAAAAACAGGTGAAAACAATTAAGAAGGAAAACATGATTGTCAGTGATTAATATTGTAAACACATGGTGACCAAGAAATAATCACAAACCTCATTAAGACAAAAGTACTTCAAAGTAAAAAATTACACAGAAATTTTTTAGACACTTAATGCATCTAGAAAAAAACACATTAAACTTCTAGAATTTCTCCCCGAGAGTTTCTTACTTCATTGCATCTTTGCTCGATGACTTGATGATATCATTAGCAGTTGGAACACCCACTCGCCTGAATGTGATTCCCTGGAAAAATACCACAGAATTATTGTGCATCAAATACAAAAAGTGCGCAGATCTACAAGCTTTGTATACAAGCTACAAATTAAGCAAAAAAGAGAAAACTTTACTTTGTTCTGATTTGCTGTTAAATAAAAAGAACAAAAGTGAGATGAAGCTATGTGGAGCTCAGCAATGCAAACTCTACATATATTTTACATTTATGGCTGCTGACAATTAGGCGCCAACACATATTTTTTACTCGCAAGTCTCAGTATTTAGAATAACACCTACTGCTTTGTGTTCTACGTAGCGCAGCTGGTCCTCTTCTTTCCTTTGATAGAAGCAGATGCAGACTCCAGTCCTGCCTGCGCGGCCCGTTCGTCCTGAACGATGGATGTACGACTCTACATCCTGACAACAGGAGAAGATAATAAATATTAAAACGGAAAACAAAGTCATGTTGACAGATTTAAGTTTCAGAACCTAAGCACAGGTATATAATGTGCTTAGCTAGCATCTGTTTACAATTATTGTCATTTCTAAACTTGTGCATATAAATAACATGAACTTATTTCAATTTTTTGTTCTATATGAACTGTAAAAATGGAAAGGTAACTGTATGAACGGAAAACATATCTCAAAGATCAGAAATATTTACTGTAGTGATCTAAAACTAAATCAGAAAATAAATAACTCAATCCATAACTTAAAAAAATAAAAAGTTTAAATAGTAAAATCACCTTAGGAGGAGACGACTGGATCACCAGGTCCACTTCAGGGATGTCTAATCCACGAGCTGCAACATTGGTGGCAACCAGAACCTCAAAGGCACCGTTCCTGAAGCCTTTCAGTGTCGTCTCCCTCTGTTTCTGTGGAATGTCACCATGAAGGGACTGGGCGCTCTAAAAGCATTGAGATTAAAATAAAGAGAGAAGAGAACACTTTAGAATGACAGCAAAAAGTCACAATTATGAAAATGACTTAAACAGTGATGTGATAGGAGACGTGAGAACTGTGCTAGCAAAATGTCATAATGAGGAATTTTTCAAAATAAGAGTTTTAATTTTTAAATTCTCCATCTCAAATTTTTCTAAATGATGTACAGTTCGTTGAAATTTGGTCACTTATCACCTGGCTGCCAACAAGCTACTTTAGTTTACAAAAATGCTTGTTTGAAAACTTAATTTGTACTCATCTAGAATGATGTCATCAGGAATTCCAGCCTTGTATTTTAAAAGGGGAATCCCCAAGATTCACAATCAACATTATTGCTTCACCACTGCTATGGCATCTAGGAATATGTGAATTTTAAAGAAAATCCAAAAGATTACAGTAATCCCTCGCTACTTCACAGTTCATTTATCACGGTTTTTCAAAAAAAAAAAAAAAAAAGAAGACTGGACAAGACACTCAATTGGCTGATTGATGGATGAGCCGCACGATCTGTATTTAATTTTTATTTAAAATAAATTATTTTGAATTAGCACCTGCTGCACATTTGTGCAGCCCAGAGCTACAGAAAAAGCGTCCTCATGCATCTTTGTGCAGACCATACTACGGGATAAACTTCCTGCTGCAGCTGATCAGCTGTTCTCCGTGCAGAGCGGGAAAGTGGGCGTGGCCAAGAACGCTTGCAGGTGGCAAAGAGCAGAGGAGGCAGGGAGCTGAAATCATGACATTCTGTGCTCTTTTAGTATTTAGAAACATTGTTTAAAACATTGCAAGAGTGTGGGAAGGGTTAAACACGCCTTCATTATGTATACACTAAAATAAACTATTACTTCTTGTACTACTATTCCTACTTCGCGGTTTTTCACTTATCGCGGGGGGCTTGAGGGTATGAATCCCCCACGATAGACTACTGTACACTTTTATAAAGATTATTTCTAAAAAACCCTACTCATTAGAAAACATCAATTAAAAGTTAGATTAGGAAGATTATATGCAATTTTAGGGCAGCACGGTGGGTGGCTTAGTCGCCGGTTCAACACATGGTCTGGGACCTTCCGGGGTGGAGCTTGCGTGTTCTCTCCGTGCACGCATGAGTTTTCTCTGGGTACTCTTGTTTCCTTCCACAGGCATGTTAGTCTGACTGGTAACTAAATTGTTCCTAGGTGTGAGTGAGTGTGTGAATGGTTGTTTGTCTTGTTTGTCTCTATGTGTCCCTGTGATGGACTGGAGACCTGTCCAGGTAGGGAGGGAGGAAAGGACGAGAGGAGGGAGGGATGTGCCATTTTATTTACCGAGATCCTTAGATCCTTTCTATATGGACTCAGTTACACAAATCTCAATTATGACAAAATTATTGTTTTGCAAAGGAGCCCACGCACATTCTAACTTATTTTTCCATCATGGGTCCCACTCATAGGTTTATTATTAATCAAGATTTAACGTGACATGACTGGTGTATTACATTGTGCATCACTATTGTGTAGTATTGTGCAGGTATGTGTGGTCACCTGTTTGATGGATTCGTTTAAGGAAAGTTCAGTGGCCTCCCTTTTTGTCTCACAGAAGACGATGGTCCTGCCGTGGCTGCCGCTGTAAACCTGGATCACGTCTCCTATGACGGCTGCACGCTGTGACCAGTGACATGTAATGGCCAAATGCTACAGAAGAAGGGTGACAAGACAGAAAATGAACAAGAGCAGAGGAAAAACAGGAAAGAATGCAGCATTTTATTGAAATCAGCTGGCAATTTTTTTATTGGTACTTCACTGAAATAACACTAGTATGAATGATGAAAAAACAGCAGACTTTATGGCAAAATCACATGTCATGCTGTATTACACTTTGTGTAACCACACCAATCACACGCTCCCCAACACCCTGTTCTTTGAGTTTTCCAACTTACCTCAACTGTTGTTGCAGCTTTTTGTGTTTTCTTGCCAATCAAGTCAATATGCTTGCACTCAGGTCTCATGTATTTCTTGGCCACATCATACACCCAGGGGGGGCAGGTGGCCGAAAACAGAAGAGTCTGTGGGTTAGCAGAGCCGTCTAAAATGGAGACAAACCGGCCTGAAGTCATTTCAAACACATAACCACTAAACCAATCTACGAGCAGCTACAGATCAACTTGTTGGCATCACTTACCTTTCTTGTATGAACAACTCAAAATCTCTTCAACCTGTTCTGCAAAGCCCATGTCCAACATCTGGTCCACTTCATCCAGAACAACATGTTTTAATTCAGCCAGGTTGAGCTTATTGTTCTGAAGGTGATCTTTAATCCGACCAGGAGTTCCCACCAAAATATCAATCCCAGTACGTATGGAATCGACTAAACGGGAAGAGACGCAGATTTATTAATCTAGCATTTAATCTTTTTTTTTTTTTTAAAGGAAGAAGTATACACACATTTCCAGCTCTGTGTAAGCTAAAACCCTGCTGTGTTGTTTAGTGAGCAGCTACAGTTATTCTAAAAACTGATCTTGTAAAAAAAACATTTAACTGAAAAGTTTCCAGTGATTTATGTAGAACTTACTTTGTGGCTTGTATGAGCTGCCTCCATAAAAACAGCATAGTGTCAGTCTCTTGATGATGTCCTTGAAGTCCTTTGCAACTTGGATAGCCAACTCTCTGGTAGGAGTCAGAACCAGCACCTACAGGAAAATAAAATAAATATATGAACACTGACCCAAATTGACTGCGAGACTGAGTGGTTCCATCTTGAAGTGAAGGGTAAGCACCTTAGGAGGCCGCCCTCTGGCCCTCTCTACTGATTCCATCTGGAGCTTCTCCACCAAAGGTACAGCAAAGGAGAAAGTCTTTCCTGTTCCTGTGCGGGCTTGAGCAATTACATCCTCGCCGTCATACACAGGATTGAACGACTTTACCTGAATGTCAAACAAGTAGGAGACTCCCCGAGCTGAAAATAAGATAGAAAAGTGACAAAATGAGTTCTCGCACAAACTCCAGAGAAACTCAGGAACTCTAAAACTCCCCTGCAGCAGTGCAGTAGTGTGAAGGACACTTCCAAGATGCAATGAGTCTCCTGAGTCATATTTGTTTCATAAAAATATAAAACTAACTCAGTTGTGCCATTTTATTTAATGGCCAACTGCAAGAAAACATAAAGTTTACTGAAAAAAGTTAATTGATTTTTTTTTTTTTTTTTTTTTGCATACAACCTTAAAATCACATCTGGGGCAATGTAAAATTCAGTAACTTTTTTTTTTTACTTTCACATGTTTATACACAATGTCAATTAAAACAAAAGGATCGCAGGATTTCAAAAATTACAAAAATAAAAAATAACACAGTTAACGGTAGTTTATGGGAACTGTGTCAAAGCTGCCTTTGTCAAACCTCTTTCTCTAAAATGTGGTTAAAAAATGAAGCTGTTCAGTCAATGTGACGTTTACCTTTCAGTTTTTCAATAGTAACTTGGGAGATTCTGAAGTTGGAGAACGCCCCTTCTCTCTGCTCAGGTGTCTGCTCCTAATTAAGAAACAAATTTAACGGTAATTAATATTTTTCTTTTTTCCCCTTTAATTCTGAGATTCTACAAAATAAATATTAAAATTACATGTACCGTATTTTTTTGCCTTATAAGTCACACCATGTTGCATAAATTTGCAAGTCCAGCAACTTATATACTGAAGCGACTAATAAAACGTTTTTCCTCCATATTTATAAACCAATTTTTGGCTGAGATCTGACGATTTCATTCATTTTGACATGGAAAATGTTGAACACTACCATTTTCAGCCATTAGAGGGCCCTTGCAAAATATGGCAAGCCAAGTGTCTCATTAATAGGTAAACGTGGCCATTGATGAGACACTTGGCTTGTCATACAGAGCCACCTTCGTCTCGCTCTAGAACTCTTGGAGCAAACGTCAAATCAGCTGCATTTTGTTGCGCCGGACCGGCGAAATGCAGCTGATTTGATCATTAAAGTGCATTTATTTAAAAAAAAGTTCAACTGAGACACACCTTCGCTATAATGTCGAGCAAACAAATAATTGTTTTTAAGTGTTAATCTTGTTTAATTCTTGTTAAAGTCCTCCCGTGCACGCTCCCGCAGCCACCGTGTAGCAGCCAATTGATTATTGGCATAACACCAGGCCATGTTTCCGGGTGGTCAGCGGTGACACATTATTAACGTGACGCGTCAGCAGTGACGCATAATAGATGCGACTTATATGACGAAGCGACTTATTTATGGGTTTTTTTCCACTTTATTAGACATGTTTTGACTGATGCGACTTATACGGCGGCAAGTCTGGTAGTTAAAAATGTTATAGAATGTAGCGCATTACACATGAAAATACATTTCTTATCTAATACAATACACAAAACCCATTACTAGCTTATCATTCAATTCAAAAATAAAGAGCACAAGAAATCTCATTAACATAATCTTATCATTTTGTCCATCGTCCAAAATAATGAAACTCACATTTTCACGTTCGCTGTCACTGGCTGAGTCATCACTGGACTGGGATGGTGTCTGGACAGGGGTTTGAACTGGTGTGTTTGGGGTGGAATGTCCATTGGTCGCTGCCTCTGCGTTTGCTTTCTTTGGTTTCTTGTTTTTCTACAGCCCCGAGAGAAGAAAATAATATTACATTGATACATATTTGGAAGATGTTAAAAGAAAAATATACATTAATGTCTACAACTTCCATATTATCACAACATTTAATCAAAAAAATTGTATAGAGTGTAACGCAATCTGTAAACAAATTCATCAAACTTGTAACTGATGATTCATATGAACATGACATTGACCTCAGATGATTCCTTTTTCTTCTTGGTTTTCTGCTTAGGTGATTCAACACCATTGCAGTCTCCATTTATGTCAGTGGTCTCATCGATGTGGCCGTTGACTTGGTCCGCTGCCAGCTTGTCTTTTTTCTTTTTCTTCTTTGGGGCAGGAGGGTCACAGCCTGCATCCTCCTGCTCTTCAACCTCCTGCTCCTGTTTCTTCTTCTTCTTCTTCTTCTCCTCCTTGGTCTTCATCTGCAAGTGGAAAACAATTATGTATGTAGAATTAAATTAACAAAACGGGGTCTTTAAAAGGACATTTAGAAAAAAAAAACTTGTTCTAGCTGCACTATTTTATTTGGCTACTAAAGCAATTACAAAAAATGCTTTACTGTGATTAGTCTTTTCTCTTTGTTTTGGTCGTGTCTTCCTTCAGTATAAAGTTAATTTAAAAAAAATGCACTTTTAACAGCTGTCTCTTTTAATTCGCGTTCATAAAAAAAACAGATATACACAAATGTAAACAGCCTCCGTGAACGCAAATCATGGTTCCATGTGTTATATAGATCAGCTGAAGGCCACAACATATGATCACCTACGTCAGCTAGGCTAACTAGCTATCGGCTAACACCAAATAAAACATGAATTAACGCTCATAACTTTAAGCAAAGCAACATTTATATATAGTAACTAAGTTGAAGATGTTCATCTTGTTTTTGTTCCACACCTCCATGGGGGTTAAAATCAGCTTTACTAGCGCTGCAGCTGTGCCTTTCATTTGTCGCGTTAGCACAGGCAGCCACATGTTGTCAAACATGGAGGAGCCGCGGACCGAGCTCAGAAGTTCAGAAACTGTTTGTGAACAGTTCGCGTCGACACGACTCGTGAAACTCACCTTTAAGGTCGTAGCCTCTGCGACAGTGTCCACATCTTCATCCATGGTATGTTCCTCGCTTTCAAAGATGACTTTTGACGGCATTATTCAATCCTGATGGAAACCCTCGGCGTGGACACACAGGCTAACCCACGGGCACGCGGATTAAAAGGAACGCGAAAGGCGGCGGCGCGCGAAGACGCGTTCACGTGCCACCCGTAGATCTGGTGCGGATACGATGCACAACAACTAACGAATGTTAAAAGAACGAAACTAATCTTTGTACATTCAATAACACGATGTTGGTGCAGTTTTTAAAAACAGTTTTTAAATAAATAAATGTACTGTAGTGCATATTAAGGGCCGTGCCCACTGAATTAGAGAACACCCTGTACAGATGCCACCCGGCAGTTATTAATGTGTTGACATATATTAAACTTGATAGTTTTTTGTTTGTTTTGTTTGGTTGTTGTTGATTTTTATTTATTTATTTACTTTACTTTACTTTACTTTACTT